GTGAGATCAAATTAGCTTTCTCTACGTTTATCCATGTTTCGAATCGAGTTCTATTCAACATTTTAGTAGTTTAAAATATAAGTACTGTGAGATACTGCACTATTGTACTAATATCGCTGAGGAAATTTGAAGATTTTGTTTTTGCTTGTTGCGATAAGAATAAATTTTATTCATTTTTCATCGGACTTGTACATTAAATTTATTCCGAACCCATACGCAAGCAACAATATGTAATTAAAGACAAACAACTCAGTACTTTTCAAAGTCTTTATTATTAAAATGTTTTGCCATGCTTTAATCATTTAAGAACAAAACTGCATTAAAAAACTTAAGTACAAATGTAAATAATAAATTCAAGCAAAGTAATACTGAAAGTTATAACAACAACAAATAACCATTTACTACTGTTTACAGAAGTACAACATATATTCTTATTATTACTATTAAAAATTAAAGAAAGCTTCAAACATTTAATTTACAAAAGATATCAAAATCAGGAAAAGAATTTAATTTTCTCATGATTACAAGTTAAATAAAAAAAAGATGAAGCACAGATAGACATAAACAATCTATTATTATCAGAACACATTTAGCATTAAAACAAAATTAGTGTTTAGAAACACATTGTAAGCGTAAAAGTTGTAAGTCTTCTGTAACTGAATAGAACAGTTAGAATAATTTTAATTGAGATAGCCCAGACTTTTTGTTATTTTAAGGAGAGAGGAACTTAAAAATACACGAAAAAATACTTTTTTAAATAAATACAAGAAAGAAATATTTTTTGAAACATTTTCCTCATTAAAATAGTATTTCTTTTATATATTTTAACAGAAACAATTCAACTTTTTGAAATGTTTGAAATGACAATTTTATTGAATACAGTTTTCTCATTTTAGGTGATCAACTTCTTAGGTTAAACATCTGAGTATTATTTTTAAAAAGTGAAGATATCTATTTATTAAATAAAAAAGAAATGCTTATAATGAATAAATATAAAATTTAGAAAAATCTGAATGATTAAAAATGTCTACGATTTTAAACTGAATTTCAAACAAAATGACTACTACACAGAAAATGAATAATCAAACATATAATACATTGCTACTTAAGTTAGTCATACATACAAATATAAATCTCTATTCAAGTGTGCACTAGTTTCATTGTTCACATATATGTCTATTTTATACTTCTAAATTAAAACCAAACTTATATTTCTAGGTAGATAGTTCTTATGTCTTAATCTAAACTTAAACTTCCATTTTAATAAATTACAATATTATCAAAACATTAACTAAAGTACTGAATCAACATTATTAATTTTTAAGATAAAATGAAAAATATTGTTATTACACTGCTTTACATGGAGAATGTGTATTCTATTTTAGTAAAATTAACATTTATAATTGATTATATGTAGTGTTTTAAGAAACTAATACACTTAAAACAATTTACAAGACCACGATATAAAGACTAGAATTAACAACTACTTTTGCTGCATTTTATTACACAAACTATTCTTAAAGAATTTCCAATGAGTGTATTGAAAATCACTCCTATTTTTTATCAACAGATGTTGAAATTATTGTGATCTGCTTATATAAATATGTACATCATATTTCTTTTTTTTCTGTTACTTAAAGACCTGAAACTCTTCATTAAATCTTTCATTTCCAGAAAGAGACAGAAATGAAGAGAGGCTTTTTTAACTCTTAAGAACATGGACAGCATACTATATGTGCCAGTGCATTTTAAGCATATAACTAGGCTACCATTCATTAAGAATATCACGTCGAGTAACAGTCATAATAAGCATTAAACTCGGGGGAAAAAAACTATTTAAAACTTATAAAATGAATATAATACAAAGGAATTTTTTAAAACTATTTGTAAATGTATGGATTTTTAACTAAAAAATAAAAATTAATAATAGCTTCTTATGTTCAACTATCTGAACAAACCACCATTTCTGCTTTTAGAGTTTTATTATACTTTATGGCAGCTTTATTTAATAACTTTTAGATATTTCTCACAAGCAAGTATTAGCATTTTATAAAAGTTACAATTCAAAAATAATAGACAAAATGGGTACATAAGAACTACCATTTTCAATATTAAACTATCATTTAATACAACAGACTAAACATGATCAAGTAATTTTTCTCTATAATCTCAACTATTTTTTCATTAAATGGCATATGCAGTTTGATGGCTATGTTCTTAAAAGTTAAATACCATTAGTGGTTTCAACAGGTTTCCTCAAGAAACTGTTTTCCTGTTATTTACACATCACTCCAGGTACAAACAACAGACTGACACCATTCATTTGATTGAACTAGTGCGCCTGATAAAGTCATGTCATAAACCTATTATTCATATTACTGCTCTGATGTATCACAAAAACATTCACATATTATTTTAATTCTATTTATATGCTTTTTATTGAATATTTCACAAATAACTTACGCCACAGTGAAATCTAAAAAAAAAAAAAAAAAAAAAAAAAAAAAAAGAAAGATACTTCTTTTAAATATATTGAAACAAATTTTAAATTTTGCTTAGCAGTTAAACAACTGCTTAATAATTTCATCCCCCCCCAAATTTGACCTAAAAAATGCCACATTTTTTATTGCATTTTTTGTTCATTTTACATTTGTTGTAAGCAGGAAAACATTAATATTTTTTAGCACTTAGAACAACTTTTCTACTGCAAATAAAAAACCAAGATTTTAGAAAGTTGTCATTTGTTCCTACACAAGCTCTTAACAGGAAAGTAACATTTATGGTTGTATATATATAAAAATTACAACTAGTTTACAATTATGTTCGATTGCAATAGCTACAGTTACATTTACTTGACACCTTTCTCCCTCTGTTTTAGAGTGATTATCCTACAATAAAGTGAGAGGTACAGTCTACCATCCTAGGTAAAAATAGCGAACCTCTTTTCTAATTCTTTTGGTGTTTTCGTTTTTCTTCAATAAACACACATAGCACCATTTAGCAGGTCTTAGCATTTTTCCTGTACACAAAATTACATACAAAAATGTCTTAGCGAAGCTTGTAAACATCCAGGAAGTCCTTTCTTTAGCTTCTATTTTTGCATGCCTTTCATTCAGTCAAACAACAATATCCAATTGAAATTGTAAATTCGTATTTTTTTAACATCTTTTCTATATTTTTTATAATAGTATCGAAGTCATCTAGAACTTTCCTTACTCGCAGGCTCATTTACAGACACTTCAGATTTTGAATGCGAATCACAGTTTGATTTGCAAGAAATCAGCAGCATACATTCTGAATCAACTATTACTTTATGGTAAAAAAAGTTTTAACTACTTGTGCATTAATAAAGTTATTAAATTAGCAATAAAATACACGTGAAAAGCTAAGCACTGAAAAATTCGCAAAGTCATGCAAAAGCCATGAAACAAGCGAATATTTTTTGAACCAAAGGGAATGAACAAAATAGATTTTATAAATGATCACTTAGTGAACATCTACTGTCATTCATATGACTATTGATATTAAAAATTGAAAAGATACAGGGAAAACAGAAAACACAACAGAGAAATAAGACTGCCCATATGTTGTATAGGCTAATGACTTAAGGCCCAAAAGCAAAGTCCATACAGTGCATGGGCAAAACAGCCAAGTGGCTAAATCTTTATCCATTAAAAATTCTGTTTTACTGCCCAATACTGCAATTCTGTATTACTGCCCTTTAAGAATTACAAATAGTCTTATAGCCTGATAGATTAATATGTTGAATAAAACTATCAAAAGAAGTTTTGAGTTTGTAAACTATGTGTATTTACTTGCAACTGTGGAAATGTTTTCAGAAATATTTTCAAAATACACAGAGAATTTTAAACACATGTAAATAAATTAAGAACAAATTTAATTGCATTTGATGTAGAATGCAACTTTAATTGTGAACACCCAAGTTCCAGATACATTGAAAGTCTAGATAACTAGAACAATAATACTGCAAATTAAAGTTATTATTATATTATTATGTATTACCACTATTAATAATTAACCAAATGCATGCATAATAACTTTTTAAAACATGTGAAATGGATAAATAATGTACTTATAAAATTTAAGATTTCCCAATTAATTCAATATTAATCAAATATAAAAAAAAATACTGCTAATGTTTATTCTTTTTAAATGGCTCATTTGATCACAAAGGAATTTGATAAATCACTCAAAAAATGGAAAAAAAAAAAAAAATCTACAGACAAGCAGCATATTAAACTCCATATGATCCAATATGATTTTGTACTTTGTATTTGCTGCACTTGCATCTGAATTTTGAAAGAATGTTTTGCTATACTTAACTTTGCTGCTACATTATAACCATTTACAGCAAAGCTTATTAACTAGAATAATAATACTGACGATAAATGGAACAGAAATTATTTCTGTTATCAATAAACAAAATGATATTTATATCTTCAAAGTTTTGATCACTTCATAGCTTATTGATAAATCCTGATCTGCAATAATAAATATAAATAATTACTGGGGTTGCTTATCTGCTAACAACATAATCATCAAAAGTTATATTTTCACAACATATAGTCTTAAAAATTTTGTAAAACAGAAGTTTTTAAAAATATGTGCTCAAATGACTAAAAAAGAACTCCTTTTTATAATATATTAAGAACTATAGATAAAAGTTTAAGGAGGCATGCATTACAGTATTATTTTTATCTCAGAAAATATACAAGATATATTCTCAGTTAGGAACAAATATTATAATACTTTAGAGCAGGGTTTCTTAAACTGTGGGTCGCGACTCCCAATCTGAGGCAAGGGGTGGGGTCGCCAAAAATTTCAGCAGTTTTCATATTTTTTTAACTTACTCTAATAATTTTACAATTACCAAATATTGTTACACAATGTATCTGAAAATAGATAAAGATAAGACAATACAGACAAAAAAAAAAGTTTTGACGCATGTTTTTTATAATATAAACGTTCATTTTTCTTGCTTTCCATTTTACTCTGTCATTTTGTCTGTTACTTATTTAAAATTTTCACATTATCTTAAAATTAGAAATTTATTATCTAAAACTTCAATAGTATATTACAGTACAAGTGAAAAAATTGACAATTTCACTCACTCAAGTGTCAGATTTGAGCAATACGTATGGGGTCCCACAAAATTTTTGTACCTGGGGGTCGCGAAAAAAACCTCAGTTATAAAAAGGGGTCATAACTGAAAAAAATTTAAGAAACTCTGCTTTAGAGCAATAACTTCCTCACAGAAGGAGATGTGGGTACCAGAAAAAATGAAATTAAATAAATATAATTGCACAAGAACATTTTTAATAAAAAATATGTTGAGAAAAACATCTAAGTCACTGACACTGTCAAAAGACTTCTCAGAATATTACAAAGAATATTTTAGTCTCTGTAACACGAGTAAACATTTAACTTAAAAGTCCACTTTCTCTATAAACAACTTTATATCACAGCATAATGAATGAAATAATTATGTCAGAGTTGTACTGCAAGTTCAATTTAAACATTTCACATTCAAATATGAAACTGAAGTCAACTGAAAGGGAAAAATACCCAATCCCATTAAAAAACAAAAGAAAGAAGAGAGAGAACAAAGAAAGCGTTAGTTAATCTAAGTTTATTTTAAATTTAAATTTTTTAAAGTTGTCAACAATACAACAGATATGTTAGGAGGAGATTATTTAAAAATTGCATACAATAATAATAAAGTTTAAAGCAAAAGATGTATCTTAATAGGCTTTCTTCTTTGGCTAATGAAATGTCAAAAATCAGACTAAGTGAAATAATTCCAATAAAATGACTACTTTAAATATAACAAAAATAATACAATTATCCTCTGGATTTATTAGTAAAAGACATTAAATACTTTAGATAAAAAGTGAAGACGACGCAAAAAAATTATCACAATTGAAAAATCACAAAATTATTTACAGTATAGTTTGAAGCTTCCTTTTTTTACTACACATAAGTTGATTAGTACATAACAAATATAGAAAACACAATAAACTAATAACAGATTACTAAATAATCAAAAGACAATAGATGGAATGTTAGACTATGATGAAACCCAAATATACATACTACACAAAGGAGGATTTTAAAACTCAGTCTACAAATGTTTTAACATAGCATTAATATCAATTATAATAAAAGTAGGAGCAGTCAAAACTATTATTAACAAAGAGAAATGCAAGCAATAAATGTATAATAAAAATAATTTTAAATAAAAAAATGTGCAATATTTCAACAATATTAACTCACCTGACTTTGCTAGTAACAACAAATATATATTTTGACGACTCAGGATCCAAATGAACAATGATATAAATAGTATGAAATTTGTATGAATACAGTTATTAATTATGTGTAAAATTTGAAGTACTGAATACTCCTAAAATGCACTTTAATATAAATTACTTAATTCTGTTAATTGTGAGTTGATCTTTTTTTCTTCTGCATAAAAGAATAATTGAAAATTATTTTATTCAGCTACTTCCAATTTGTCAAACATAAATTCAATTAGGACATACATTTTTATAAAAGCATACAAATTTAGCTATTCCCACCATTTAAAAATATATACCCTATTTATTTTTCAATGTTTCTGCAACATTTTATATTACATTTACACATACATATATGCCAAGTTTTAAAATTTCAAATTTCTCAAATTTTTTGTTTCTAACTTTTCAGAAAAAAATTTGAATATAAACTGCAAGATTTCTCTAAAGAATGTAGACTTATTTCATGGCTTGTAAGATTTGAAAACTGCATATTCCAAAATATAGAACCAGGCCAATACAAAGAAAACAGATTTTTTTTTTCATATATAAAAGAGATATAAATGTGGAAATAAAAAACTTTACAGAAGAAACAAATATAATTTTAAAATGCACAAAAACACAATACTAAAAGTATCATACAGCTTTAAAATAAAACATATCACAATGTACTTTTCCATCCATTGAAATTTTCTTACAATGGATTAAAATACGGGCAGCAACAATTATAAGCCACTATGATATTTATATACCAGTTAATAAAAACACAGCACATAGGCACAAATGCACAAGCTAAAAAGATACCCCTGTTGTTCATTCAATACCTATAAAAAGTCCACAGGAATTCATAAAATAACAAAAGATGGCAAGTTTCTTTCAAGTTCTTATATATATATATATATATCACAGCATATAACATCCTGGAAAACTTCTTATTGTTTATAAACAATAATTTCAAATGCAGATTGCTTCAGTGTTGCTGGAAGTACACAAATAATTGGTGGCAGCTATCGATATGTTGTTCTTTAATAAATAAGGTGGATGTTTTATGTTTGTACATGTTGTGCTACCAAATGCCTTCCCCAGTCCAATAATTCTGGCCATTGTCTGCACAACATAACTATGGACATAATGAAACCAGCAGTAGTTAGAATACGCAATCTATAACAAAAGAAGTATATTTAAGTATACAGAAATGAGACCACTCAAGCTAGTATGTTAAAATTTCTCTTCTTACATTTCAGTTGAAATAAACTTGTATTATGAATAAATTTCATTTCACAGGATCAGAGAAATGGTATATATTAACCAACATTTCATGTTTTAAATCTGATTAGTAACTTAATACTTATTATAATTATATAAGATATCTAAATGGTTTGTAATAAGCATTAATTACTAGTTTTATTAGACGGCTACTATGTTATGTTTGTAAATAAACTGTAATCCTCATTCATTATCGTTTGAAATCTTAAATTTTTTTACACTGTAATTCCTTAACTTGAAAATATATGCATTACTTTTCAAATTAAAATGAAAGAAACTAACATATTTTGATTCTGAAATTCTAAAAACTCTTGTTGCACGCATGAACTCAAAATCTTGTATCAATGCATTTCTCCCACAAAAATTCCAAAATGTAAATTAAGGATATTTACAGATATTTTCATACTAAAAGTGTCGGAAAATATACACTTTTGAGCAGAGTAAGCATCTAAGTAATTTTTCCTGATGCAAAGATGCATATATGTGTGCTTTTATATCATGAAATGAACTATATTTTACATTTCCATATTAATCACATTCAGGGTGGTAAATTATTTTATGTCATAACACTCCAAAGTATTACAATGTTTTTAATGGTAGCTTCGTATATTCAGGGAAAAAAAAAAAAAAAAAAAAAAAAAAAAAAAGATGCAAATAAAGATTTATAGTTTTTAAATGAAAAAGGTTAAAAAATACCTTTATGATAAACAACAAATAACATTGAAATAGTACAATTAAAAAAATTTTTTTGTCTTTAATGAAGCAAAATTATTAATAATGTTTTTAAAATCTACTCGAATAACTAATTCATGTCTTGTACAGAAAATTGCTATACTTGAAAATTTTTATTGATCAAGTGAAGATCTTTCATTATTTCTTTATTATTTTAAGTTCACTGAATCTGCTTCTTTCAAAAATAGTAACAGAAACTGGAAAAAATATTCTTAACAAAATTTCCAAATTTGGATACGGCTGACCTAAACTGCATATGTGCAATATGTTTGAAAGAGTTAATTTGAAATTATCTTAATATCTAATGTTATAGAAATATCACGGTTTTGAAAACTACGAGGACTATTCACAAAGTAACTTATGTTTCACTGCTGCGCAAGAGATAGTGCTAGTATCCCCATTTTAGTGGCGCAGTGTCTATCGAATCCTTACGCATCCAGTTGTAATCGTTAGCAACAACGGTTTGTACTGCCTTTGCTTTGTTTACTGTGAACACTTAAAATATGTGCGGCAATAGGAAATCTCACCAGTTGTGAAGTGCAATTAGCAATTATATTTTTGCTAAAAAAAAAAAAAAAAAAAAAAAAAAAAGACAGCAATTGAAATTTATCAGGAACTTTGCATAATGAGTGAAGCCAGAGTGAATGAAGTAGCCGGTTGAGCATTGCTAATGCTGAACTCGTAGAGAAAAATCGATGAAAAGATTCCCGAAATCCACTTCACAATTTTGGAGCTCTCAGTAGAGTTTCTTCAAATTTCATGAACTTTGTTGTTTGGTGCTGTGATGCAAGATCTAGGCTACCACAAGTTTCGTGCCAGATAGGTACCAAAACTCTTATCAGAAGACCATAATAAGCTGCATATGGCAGCAGCTTTGACATTTCTTCAGGTGTACCACAAACAGTGAATCACTTCTCAATCGTGTCGTAACAGGAGACAAGACTTGAGTACAGTTTGTCACTTGTGAGACTTGTGTGTGCCTGGCTTGCAACATAGCGCTTCAATGATGAGGAGTAACTAACTGTATGCAGACGTCCGTGTATAGTTGAAGTCTCAGGTGGCAACATTCTATGACGATGGAATTAACAAGCTCATGTACCATTATGATAAGTGTCTCAGTATATACGGAGATTATGTAGAAAAATAGCTGAATAATATGCCTTTCAAATTCAAGTAATAAAAAATGTTTACTTTCAATTTTTTTTTTTTTTTTTTTTTAATTCTAAAATGTAAGTTACTTTCTGAATAGCCTATGTATATACACTGACGAGCCAAAACATTATAATCATCCCCATATTTTTCAATGGGCTCATGTGGATGGCACGTGATTAAAAATGTGTCCCGCATGGTACAGCAAAACTGGCATTAAACATTGCCTCAGCAGACAGCCCAATAAATACAGGTTTAAGTGTTAAGTGTTTCAGCGTTCACTATTGGATATGGGGAACTGTGCAACAGACGTCCCACATGTGTGCCTCTGCTGACCAAGCATCATGGTCAATGACGCCTACAGTGGGAGTGGGAACATCAACACTGGACCATAGATAAGTGAAATACAGTTGCCTGCTCAGATAAATCACGATTTCTCCTGTTGATGATCGTGTCAGGTTACAGCGTCTCCAGGCAAATAGTTCCTCTCCCTGTACATCAGGTCACATAAAGGATGGTGGGGCTGGTATTATGCTTCAGGCGATGTTCCCATGGAGAGCTCTGGGACCCTTAGTTGTGGTAAAACAAATCATGAAAGCTGCAGACTATTGAACATTATTGCGGATCACTTGCACTCTTACATGGTGTCTGTCTTTCCAACTGGAAATCTTCCAGCAGAACAATACTTCATGTCACAAGACTCGAATTATACTGGAGTGGTTTCAGAAGCATAAGGATGAATGCCGATTAATGTCTTAGCCACTAAACTTGCCGGATCTTAAGCCAAAAGAGCACATTTGGGATGTCATGGAGCAGCAGCTCAGAGCACACACAACATCATATCACAATATCTCACCTTTGTACTACCGCTGCTTAGACATTTAATACAATCTGTCTTCAACTACCAAGAATTTGTGGTATCTATGCCAAGGTCAGTTGCAACTGTTCTGCAGGCCAAAGGTTGTGAGGTTGTGCAATTCGTTACCGAGTTGGTGGTCATAATGTTCTGGCTCTTCAGTGTATTTCTGACTAAATTTATTTAGCATTTATATCATTTGAATACTTAAGTGTGAAGCTACAAGCTTTTTTTTTTCAAAGTAATTAAATTCAATGGCCTTAAATTTTCATGTGAAGTGGAAATCGAAAGATGTCTCATTTCATTTTACATATCTCTGTTTTATTTGTGAGGTTAAAACAGCTATCAGTTCTTTCAATTATACAGTGAAAATACATTTTTCTAGTAAATTATTTTTTCTAAACTGATTCTTAACTGTCTGATTTGAGTGGTCTTGTCCTATTCCCCCCCTTTCTTCCAAATTTAAATTTAGAACTAACTTTTCGTATTTCTCAAAAATATTTTAAGACACATTTTGTTTCATCTGCTGAATTGTTTTTAAAATTCAATATGATAAAGCATAATAGGCTTATCTACCAAAGGAATGGAATGTTTTCATGGAGAACTTTCTAAGAACTGTTTTATACTTATGTTAAAAACGGGGAAGATCGTGAAAAAGATCTAAGTAGACAGTTCAGTTTATCGGAGTTTAAAACCAGATCAATCATTCTGTTAAAAATAGTGTTTTATATACAGAATAATTTTCAGTTGCTGGCCAGTCGGCATGTGGCTAGTAATACTGATTGCCAGATGGACGGTTCGAATCCCGGAGAAGGCATGAATGTTTATAAGCATATAATATCTGTGCAGCAAGGGGCACTCAAAATATGTGGTGAGCCAAAAACCCTCTTGACAGGTTGCTGGTAGGGGAAGAGGGGTGGGAAATTGCTGGTAGGAGAAGAGGGGTGGGAGATCCTCAGATCACCTCTCGGGGTGCTCACCATTGGAATTCTCCCTCTATTTTTTTTACCTAGGTCAAGTACCTCATTTGCCTCACCTCTGTCCTGGTTTCATCTACAAGGATACAGACGTGTGGGAAAATTTTGGTAGTATTATGTCCTCTCAGTAATAGCCTAAGTATTTCTGATACTAACAACAAAAGAAACATGATCTAAAACAGAGTACTATGTGAACACAGTACAAAAAAAGAAATTAAGATTTTACCACACAGTAATCAATACATATGTAAAAATATATTATAGAAATCACAGGCATAGATACAGTAATCATAAGCTCAGAGATACTTTTAACGCCTCTGAGAGCGCATTTCACGCATTGAAAATCGGAAATACGCTTTAAAAAACTAGCCAAGAGTATTTTCACGCATTGAATTTTTTACAAAGGTTTAGCTTAAAAAATTAATAGTGCCCCACTGAAATCAACAAATAATATTTTTCCCTACTCAAAACACCACCGAGACATTTTCCCCCCTGACTTCTCCACAACAAAGAATATAGGCGCGCACTATGTAACGCCGTGTTGACTCAGCGATCACGGCCAGAGAGTAGAAGAAAGAAGCTGACTAATGAAATTGAAGTTTCATTGTATATTTACAAGCTGATTTCGTCACGCATTCCATGTTACTGGATGGCCATTCGAATAGTAGAATTGGTTATCGACACACGTGGTTTGGGAGTTCAGTGAAATTTCACATTATGAGCTGGAAAAATCTTTTGCACTCTTTTCAGAAAATTGAAGGCAAAGTAAAAGCATATACAGTCAAAAGTCTTTAATCCAAACGTCCATAATCCGGACCTCAAAGCTACAAACTTTCTGTGCATGCATAAACGCATAATGAATCTATGCATGCGCACAATACCTTTACGAACATGCATATGCATTTACGCATGCACGTTTAATGTATAACAGACGGTATAAGCTAAGCTAAAATTATCTAATTATCTATTTCAGTTAATGTTGCAGATTGCGTTGTTCCTTAATCTTCGAATTGGATCCGGCTTATTATTTTTTGCAGACTGTTGGAGCAATTTTATAAAAGTAAGCTTGAACTTTCGATTATGTAAAATAGAATTTCCGATTCTGGAGCTGCCAAAAGATCGAAAGCATGCTTCGATGTCCAATAAACAAAAAGTGGAATTGCTGCAAAAAATGGATAAAGGCATGAAGAAAGTGACAGAGAGGTGATTTGTTTCTCTAACCATTCCGAAATCTGTTTATCAACTTCACGCTGCTCTGTGAGGGTGGGGGGGGGGAGGAATCGTCACGGCGTGCAATGAACTGGAAGTTGATCTGTCAGCATTGTCCTTATCTTCAGAGAAGATGTTTTTATTTTATTCGGCTTATAATTCCTTACTAAATGTGGTATTTCATCTCGATGTACTCTGTCTTTGATATGATTTAAATCAAATTCCTCGTCATTATAAATATCATGAATACACATCAAATAGTTTGCTGGTTGCAATTTTCTAATTTCGACTATGCGTAATGTATGTTTTACGCATGCGCGCGTTGAAAGAAATGTTTAGTAAAGTAAACAAATACAGATTAAGCTTTTTTTTGTAAATTTTGATACCCTTTAGATCAAAATTGCTCTTTGTTTCATATTTTTTATTTTATAATTTCTGCATGCCATCTCACCAGATTTAAACTGATGATCTATAATCCAGAAAAACCGATAATCCGGAATCGCCGAAATCTCGACGAGTCCGGATTAAAGACTTTTGACAGTATTACATTAAATTGCACTCAAAATATTATTAAAAATAAAAAATAAAATTAAGATTTAGCAAAAATTTTAAAGCTTGCCATATTAGAAGAGTTTAAAATACAGAAGTAAGTACACCTCAGATTGCAATTAGAATTGGAATAACACTTAACTACTAAACAAGCAAGGTAAGCTTATAAAATGTGTACTTCTGTGGTGGTGGGGAAATAAAAAGCAAGCAGTTGAGAAAAATAATGTAGAAAAATCTCATTAAAAATACCAAAAATATTCTCTCACACACACGTAAAGCAGCATTGAATTAATTATTACCTTAAGCTTTATTCATGGAATTCTATTTACATAACATAATTTAAAAAATAATTGAAATCCATTAAATAAATTACTGAAATACGCACAATTCTGTTATAGAGACTGTATAAAACCACAACGAAAATATACGTGCAAAACCCCAAAACGAAAATATACGTGCAAAATGTCTAGCAGATGCACCCATTTAACAGCACGCTGAATCTACCGAATGTGGCCAATAATTAACCGCATTCAAATTCAGACAGTTCTAGATTTTTAGATCACCATTGAAATACTGGCTTAATTTTTAAATTCTTTTTTGATAATGCTATGGATCTAACAATTTAGGAAATGCACAATGATGAAAATGTGTGAGGTTGAGTCATAGCTTTAACTGGTCGGCTTAAGTTGAAAATCGGCTGATGTGACAAGATTACTGAAGTAGACGAAAGCTTTTTCACTACACAAAGGCAGACATAAAAATTTGTACACATCTTGTTTAATTTCAATTTAGCTCTTTTTTATGAACTATAATAAAAAGTTAACATTAACATTTCATCTAAATTAAAACAATAATTTTAGATAGTTAGTTACTATTATGCTACCTTTCTTGCATTAGAGTTACAATAATTATTTTTGGCATCAGCAACAGTTTACCAGTTTTTTACAGTCCCTATAATGAAATTGTATTCTGAAATGATTACCTTACCTTCATTACGATCACAGCTTTTAAAGCTTAGTTTTCTGACTATAGCTTTTAATTTACGATAATTAATCTAAGGCAGCCTATTTGAAAATTTTCATGTTGATTATCAAACTCTTTGATATAGATTGAAATATATTTTTAAAAATTAACTATCTTATTCCTATATATATATATATTTAAATGTACCATTATTTTTCTTTGTAATATCAGTTTCCACCTTTTTTTTTTTTTTTTAAACTGAAAAAATTACCTAGTTTGAATAAATGGCATCAATATACTGGCAACAGTGGCAACTAGGAGAAGCACAACTTGTAAAACTGTCAAAACTACATTTATAAGCTTAAGTGCAAGAGCTCGAGCATTTGTTCCATCCAAAGAATCTAAAGACACTAGTTGTTGGAAGTGCTGATGTTGCTGGTGTTCCATTCGTGATATCTACAGAAAGAGTTGGAAAACTATAAAAATTCAAATTTTTCACATAAATAAAAACTTTAGAAAGCTTTTTAAACTGGTACAGTTTAAAACTGCATTTACATTGCTACCAAACTTGAAATAACGATAAACCAGGAGATGGTCTACATGATGATGTGATTTCAGAACTTCCTACTGATTTAAATTCATTTCATAATGCATGATTTGTGTTATTGAACTATTTTTACTAGCGTACTGATATAAAATTTATTAATATTTAATTAGGTATTTTAATTTTATGCTCTTCTGTGTTTTATGTTAACCCCATTTTGTAATTCTTCTTATATTTTTATACTGAAAAAATCCTTAGCAGGGAAGACAAGTTTTTATTTATCAAAATCCTTAGCAGGGAAGACAAGCTTTTATTTATCAAAGTACTTTTAAATACAATGAAAGTAAAATAAATAATTAATGTATATACTTATTCTATGGATAAACCTAAAATGTACCATTTATTTATGCAAAAGAAAATTAAATACAAAAATTAATTGACTAAATACTGTTTAAAGCTTCATAAAAATTACTGGAAATGTCTATAGTACATTAATTTTCTAAGTCTAGCTTGCAATATTCTTCAGGATGGCACAATTGCAAACGTTTTCCCCTCTTTAACACTACTTCTTAAGGACAAATTGCTTTCGAGTAGTTATTTGTTCCCGCCACGAAAGCTGTAAAATTTGCATGGCTGTCAGATGCTATCTGTGGTCTTTATTAAGTTGCTTTATTTTTGATTTCCTCGACATTTATTTTCCTTACTCCTCATCTATGTATTTCATTATAAAACTGCTTATTCTACTATATACTATATTTAGATAACATAAATTAATACTCTATATATATATTTAGATAATAAATACTCTATATATATATTTAGATAACATAAATTTTGGGAAATAATCTAATGTTCTCAGTTTTCCCCCTCCCATAAACTATGCATTTAAGATATAATTGTTATTTAACCTGCAAATACATAACTGAGACATTCTTAAGAACTTATGGTGTTTTCTCTCAGACTCAACATTAACCCATTAACCGCCAAAACTACAAGGAATGTTTCTTTTCTCATGAAAATAATAACAAATATTAAATTAAGCATTTATAACATAAATTTACATTGAAAATAAAAAAAATACTCTTACCTGTGGAAAACGCGAGGGTTGCGTTCGCGCAACGTCAGCAGAATAAGACTATGGATGTTTAATGAGTAGGATTGTACTCGTGTGATGTTTCTTTTGAGTGGAGCGCAGGATTACTTTTTAGCTGTATAACATTTTTTAAATCTACAAATAACTTTACTTGTAATTAATTTAATATTAAATATACATTTTATTTCTTTTACAAATGCAGATTATTTCAATTGAAAGATTCAAGCATGAAAAGCTTGATTACAATCACGATGTAAAGTGACATTACATACTTTGCATCTATAAACAGTCTGGCTATGATACTCTTTACAACAAAGTCTTTTGTTATCAACGGACTTTACGATAAAATTTCTACCATCTCCATGCAATGGTTTTTGAATGCTGAATTTACTAGGTTTTCCTGTTGCTGATCTATTTCTGGCTAATTCTACACTCTCAATAGGAGTTTGCAAATGGAATAATGCATTCTCGCATCTGAAATCTAAAAGAGTATATTTCCAGTAGTAAAAAGTGGTGATATTTAGTAAGTTTAGATACGGTCTCACCTCATATAATTTATCAGTATTGTCAAATGCAAATTCTGCTTCATATTCCTGTACTGCAAACGTGATATCGATTCTCGTACAACAGGAACAGAAATGTCCTTATCAAAAGACCAATACATTTTTTCTTGAGGTAAAGAATAATATTCTGTAAGCAATAATTTTCCAATAAATCTTCTCATATAGGCTTCATTCAGATGCAATAAATTATTTTTTTTTTTTTTTTTTTTGCTGAGCGTATATATTTTTCTTTTCAGCGAGAAAAGAGTAAATATCTAAACCAAAACAAAAATCGAAAATCTGTGCACTAGTTTTACCTTGTATTTTGTCTTTTATAATTTCTCTTCTATCTCTTTCTTCATGTTCTTTCTGACACATAACTAACAGTTCCTTTTTTATCCACTTCAAGATTTCAATCTTCTGCTTTTTAAACTTTTTAGTATGACTATAACTGTTTTTAGAAGGCTGAAACTTACTTCTTACGTGAATTTCAACTTTCCCAGCAGTATCATTTGGTAAAATATCATTATCATTATTTAAAACATTGCCATTCCTTTCTTCTTCGTCACTAGTTTCTGCAATTTCTGGGGGAACAACAAAAATATCAATTTCATTCTGGTCATTATTAACATTATCATCATCTATTTCTTCATCAAAAAATCTTTGTAGGGCTTCCCCTAATGTAAGATACCTCATTCTAGGCATTTTTAAACAACCAGAATATGAACCAGAACATCAAAAGGAATGAGTGAAAAAGGAGATTGACTACCCGTTTCCTGCTGACAATGCGTCAGCGCAACACCTGTTTTCTTTTGCTTCCCTACACAAATATAAACATCTGACTGATGTAATGTTCTGATAAACGGTGACCTTGACTAAAAATAGATCACTCATAAAGACGGCGATTCTTTCGTTAAATATTTTCAGCAAAAATACCCGGTTGAAAATTTTGCTTAATATATGAGATTAATTATTATAAACAAAATGATTGTTGAAGGCAAATATTTTTTTACACAAATAATCTTCATAATATTCCCTACACAGAATCATCTGCTGGTATAAAATATCTTAGGTAGTTATATTTATATACGCATTTATTTTGACTGTTGCGTCAACGCAACACCAGCGGCTAATGGGTTAAGATACAGATTATTCGGTAATTCTACCTGAATGTAAATGACACTGCCTATTTTAAAGGCAACAAACATCATTGTTAAAATTTCTTTCAAAAATTTTCGAGTAAAAGGTTCCTTTTTGACTATCTGTGTTCAATAACAATAAAAAAAGTAAAAAGTGAAAGTGCTTAGTGTATTAGATTTTGGAAACTAAATTTGAGACTCTTCTTTACTTAGAACACTACGAACAAAGATAAATAATAAATAACAAAGCACGGAATGATAAGTGTTCATTCTATTAAATTATTTAGAATTATAATTGCATTTACATTTCTCTGCGTAATTTGGTCAGTTCTACATGGTTAGTTCTAAATGAAGAAGAATCACTAATTTCTTTGCTTTCAAAATCTACTACACTTCATGTTTAATCCTACTTACTTAGTTCCCTCCTCCTCCCAGTAATTTTACAAACATGTGTTAAATAAAAAAGAATTTTTTAAAACTTATTTTTTCACCTCTCTTATTTTTTTCTACACACATTATTTACTGGAATATAAGATCCCTTTCTTAGCTATACTTTGTTTTGGAGTTTGGCAGAATCTTATAATGGAGACTGCAGAATAAGAGAAAGGAATTTAATTATCGGACTATAGAGAATAATCATATTATTTTAAATGCTAAACAAACCTCACACACAGGCAGTATCTAACTGACGCTAATTTTCATGGCCTCATCTAGTTGAGCAATTTTAGTTTAAGTCTGTATCCACTATACTGGCTAATAAAAGGTTAATTGAATAAGGCATAGCAAATGGAGGTCTATGCTTTAGCCTATGGGTAAGGATACCTTTGTGGAGGACATTTTAAGGGAAACTGCTTCACACTCACATGGTGCATGGAGAAAACTATGAAAGCTTGCTTCCATGCAGACTGCCTATTCATTAGAATTTGAACAGGTCAAACTACGAGTGTTCAGCGGCTTTACAGCTTGGAGCGGGTGGTCGCTATACTGGTTATTGGTATGTCTGAAAGCAAATAAGCATTGAACTGTCATTAATTTCTCTTACTTTTTAACTGTATACCATAAAAAATATTTTACTTAATTGTTTAGCTTGTCTTTCATTCCAGTCAGAACCTTGTTCTCATCAAAAATTCACCTGCATTTTCATTTATTAAAATTTATCCCAAAATGTAAAGGCGGTCATATTTTTGAGTAAATGTTGTGCATATATATGCATGCATAAAAGAATGCGGATAATAATTAAAATTTATTATTTCTGACAATAAATAATTATCTAAATTTATGCTTCTAGAAAATACAGTACTAAGTCTGAAATCCGGACGTCCATTATCTGGAATGATCTAAAATCCGGACCTCAAACCACCAAACAACATTTTCTCGTAGGCTTAAAGCATGCACATTTGATTCCTCCCCCCTCCACACATAATAAAACAGCTGGAGAGTCCCGATTTTTAATTTCACTTCAACACTAAATAAAATACCTTGTTATTAAAGAAACAATCATTTTAGCATAAATTTGTATGATCAGTAATTCGGCTCCATTGCTGCGAATTTGCTTTTGGCACATATCTCAAACCGAAACATTCCATATAGATACATTGTTGATCTGATGCCAACCTGGCGAATCATTATTTATTATGCTTTCCTTTCATCACCGCATGTTTATCAAAACATGACATGAATAATGACTCATGTAGGGATGCTTAAAGAATTTTTTATGTTATTAATTGAATAATAAAGGAGTATGGTAACCTTTTATGTTGACTTTATGCTTGGTAATGATTACAGATTTAATTAAATGCGCTAAAAAATGTTGACGAGGAAAAATTTACCAAAAATTTCTTTCCATATGCTAAAAATAGATTTTGTTGATGACACTCATAGGCACAAAGATTATATTTAGGGCTGTTTGAATTAAGAATAACTAATCTGTTATTCACATAAAACCAGAACCAACACCAGGGCTCGTATAGCCACACTGAGTCCTAAAATTTAGGACCGACAGAGACTGCATCAGGTGGTAAGATATCTAGTGCTGGCCTTAAGTATATGTGGGAATTTATTTACTCAGAACTCTGATAGGCCATTTTTCTAAGTAGTTTTTTTATTAGAGGCTAAAAATTAAAAACTGGTAGATATAA